GAACTGCTCCCCATGAAGCCAGGCAGGACTCTGGGGCAGTCGCCTTCCTGTGAGCAGCCTGTCTGCAGGACACACAGCTCACCCGGCTTCCCCCTTCCTGGGTCTGACCTCGGAGCATTCAGCCTCCTCTGCCCCTCCGTGCGCTTCCCACAGCGAGTCCCCCCAGGCAGGGCTCCTGGGGAAGCCAGAGGGTCCTGCCCCCCAACTTCGCAGTCAGACGTGACTCTCAGCCAGCCAGTAAAACAGAGGTTTATTAGACGACAGGAACATGGCCTAATACAGAGCTTGTAGGTGCAGAGAACGGGACCCCTCAGCTGGGTCCATTTTGGGGGCAGTGAGCCAGACAACCACGTCTGCCCTTCACTCCATGTCCCAGCCAGCCCCAAACTGAAAAACCCTCCAGCCCCCCCTGCTCTGGGGTTTGTCCCTTTCCCGGGCCAGGGGGGGTCACCGGATTCCTTTGTTCTCCAACCCTTTAGCTCTCACCTTGCAGGGGGGAAGGGCCCAGGCCATCAGTTGCCAGGAAACAGGGTGTCGGCCATTCTCTGTGTCCAGACCCCTGCACACCCCTGCCCTCTAGGGCTCTGCAATGATCATACACCCTCACCCCACCCCCTAGATACTTAAGAACTTCATAGGGGAAACTGAGGCACCCCCACACTATTCAGAGGAAACATTAAGAACAGTCCCGCTTCGTCACATGCAGCGTTGCTGGAGAATTACCGCAGTCATTTTTGCAGGGACGCCGGCGCGATCGGCATTGTTGCTCCAGCGTCTCTGCGGCGTCCCCGCAGCCGGGCTAGCGGGAGTTTTGCCGCGTTACTTCAGCAATCCGTGACGTCTCCTGGTACCGTCTGAAGCATCGCCGCAGTGTTCTCTAGCCCGGTGATGATTTTTGCAGCGTGCCGGAGAAATCACCGGGGTATCTTTGCAGGGTCGCTGCCCCGATCTCAACCGTTATTCCGGCCGGTTTGGTGCCTGCATGCCGGAGAAGTTCCGGCATTTGCGATTGCCATGTTGCTGCCGCGGTTTGGAGCAGGCCGGCAATAATGAGCCCAGCCTTAAATCATAGAATCACAGAATATCAGGGTTGGAAGGGACCTCCGGAGGAATCTAGTCCAACCCCCTGCTCAAAGCAGGACCAATCCCCAATTTTTGCCCTATCCCTAAATGGCCCCCTCAAGGATTGAACTCACAACCCTGGGTTCCTTGTGCCAAGGCTGCAACATTGCTTAGCATTAAATACTCGCCCCGCGGCTGCAGGATCCTGCAGCATTCAATATTTGCAGCATAGTTTCTGCAGAATACTGTGGTGCTTTCTTTAATTTTTATTTTGCAGCAGCTTTGCCGCCCGGGGTGATCCAGACAAGACACCGATTTTCCCCCCCCCACACACACACCTCGCCCCACGGTCACACGCTACTAGCAAAAGGCAAGCAGGCTTCTGAACAGAAGTTGGATGCTTCTCGCCCGGCTGCCTGGGCTGCTGTTTCCAATTAGCCTGCTTAACGGCTGCTCCGGCGCACAGAGTCACTGGCACGGGGGTGGGGGGGAGAGCCGGGGGGGGGGGGGGGGGGGCGTTTGGCCAGCACGGCGCGGGATGAAGTGATTTGCAAGGCCGGAGTCTCTTACAGACAGAATGTCCTTCCGATGTTGCGCTGTGGGGGAGGGCTGGGGCTGCCCCCCCACCTCAGCACGTGCCAGTCAGACCCTCACCATGGGGTGGGGGTGGGCGGCACTGGGCCCTGATTCTTTAAAGGAACTTTCGAGGTCAGGTGCATGGGGGAGGGTCCTCAGGCAAACTCCCAGATAAAGTGGTGATGGGCCCCGGTATAAATGCAGATATATGGATAGAATGGGGTGTATGGGGATTAGGGTGACCAGATGTCCCAATTTTATAGGGACAGTCCCAATATTTGGGGCTTTGTCTTATATAGGCAGCTATTCCCCCCCCCCCCTCCGGCCCCAGTCCTGATTTTTCACATTTGCTGTCTGGTCACCCTAATGGGGATGGGTGGATGGATAGAGGGGTGCGTATGGGGAGGGATGGATGGAGGGATAGAGAGGGGTGTGTGGGGATGGCTGGAGGGATAGAGGGGTGTGTATGGGGAGGGAGGGATAGAGAGGGGTGTGTGGGGATGGATAGAGGGGTGTGTATGGGGAGGGATAGCAGGGTGTATGGGGATGGAGGGAGGGATAGCGGGGTATATGGGGATACATAGAGACAGACAGGGTGGGGGAGGACAACGCCCAGGGTTTGCTCCCTAGTCCAGCAGCGGCTGGCGCGGTGGGTGTGTTTCCCATCCCCGGGGGCTCCCCGGGGCCTGGTGCTGGTGCCAGGGTGAGGCCCCCGCCCCATGGGCCCGATGCCAGCCCCGCTCCGCCGGTAATGGCCAGGATCCGATTACCGCCCCTGCGGTGGTAGATTAGCTGTGCCAACAAAGGGGATTTTCCTTAAGGAGGCTTAAGATTGAGTCATGTCTAAGAGGGTTTGCGGGGGTAGGGCTGAGCGGGGCCATGTACATCCTGTACCCCTCTCTCTCCCCACTCTCTAGCTAGCCATCCATCCCCACGCACATCTCTCTCTCTCTCTCTCTATATATATATATATATATATCGTGCCCCCACACCCACTGACCCCTGTATCAATTGTCTGTAATCCCCCAGTTGCCCGTCTCTCTCCTGACCTCTGCTCCCTGCCTTCTCAGACCTCAGGCCCCGTGGGCCAAGGACCAAGTGTTTGCCTGCAGTGTAGCTGGCCCTGGGCTAAATGCAGAGGTAAATGAGCTACCCGTGTTAATGATATTAACACCCTCCCCAGCCCCGCGGGGAGGACACCTGCTCAGCGCTCCCCAGGCCCTTTCCCTTCCCCACACCCCGGCCACCGCTGGGGAGAGGACTTGGCCGGGTTAATTAACATGCACCGGGTGTCCCCGTCTATCTTCGCGCTGGGGTCTCTTTTTGCTTGTGTCGCGGATTAGGGGAGGATTAATGTCAGGCGGCTCCACCCATGTGCCGTGCGTGGTTCCCCTCCTGTGGGGGCGGGGGGACGGGGAGAGATCTGCCTCCTGATGGGGTGGGGAAGAATTTGGCCGGTCTGGATGGCTGGGTTCAGGGCCTAAAACAGTGAGCCTTGTTATGTCCTTTCACACCCTCCTCGAGCCCTGGGGCCGCAGTGTCTGCCTGAGTCTGCAGAGAGCCTGAGCCCAGCGCTCTGAGCAGGGAGCTGCCTCATGTAGAGACGATGTCTGAGACTGCAGAGGGCTCTGTGTGGGGCAGGAGGGGGAGACAACAGTGGGCCCAGCCCCCTAAGTAGAGATACCCCAGCTGTATGGACAAATGCTGCAGCCGGGGCTTCCTGGGAAGGTCAGTGGGACTCCCTCTGCTGCATTTGCCCCTGCTGTGCAGAATGGGGTGGGATCATTGCGTGGGGGTGGGGCTACAGGTCAAGGTGCGTCGGGAGGGTGGGGCGACTGGTCAAGGTTTGCCATTGGGCACCAGGTTATTTTACTCCACCCCTGGTGGCAACATGGGCTGACCCCCCACCCCATGCCACACACACACAACCTGCCTCGCCCTGCCAGGTAGGGGGAGCTCAATCACTGAGGCACAAAGCTAGAGAGAAAGCAGGGGAAGGAAAGTGAGAATCTAGGGAACCCCCCCTGCTCGGCTCCATCGTCTCTCGGCCGATTTTGGAGACGGCCCCAGAGAAATGCCCTGAGAAATGTCCTGTGTAATTTCCAGCTCTTGAGGAAAAACCCCTTGTGCTGGCCACCAAGCAGCCCTGCCCCTGCCAGCCTGGCACGGTCATGCTCGGCCTCCGTCTTTGCCACCTTTCAACCCTCCTTCTCCTCCCAGCTGGGTTCCCCTGGCTCTTTCACCGCTTCCTGCCTCCCGCCGTGTGATGCCATCCTGGATTGGGCATGAGCCTGAACCCCCTAGGTGGGGGTGCTAAGAGCAGGTGTCGCGGCCGCACCAGCTAAAGCACCGACTCCCCCTTGGGGGTGACGGCAGCACAGAGAGGGGTGTAGACAGAGGGGTCCATGTTCCGGGGTCCGTACCCCCTCAGCTGCCCAAGGAGCGGCAGAGGGAAACCCATCAGGTCTGCTCGGTGACTCCGGGGAAGGGGCACAGGGTACGGCGGCTTGGGGAGTGGGTGAGCTCTGGAGGGTGTCCCCAGCTCAGTGCCAAGCCGCTCATGAGCTAGGAGTTCATCTCCCGCTCCTGCCAGAATACTGCAGGACACCAGCTGGAAAGCACTAGACCCCCCCCTTCTGAATGGAGACTGTCAGCTCCTCTAACCACTAGACCCCACTCCCCTCCCAGAGCTGGGAAAAGAACCCAGGCATCCTGACTACCTGCCCTCTGCCCTAGCCACTAGACCCTTTTCCTCTCCCAGAGCTAGGAAAAGAACCCAGGAGTCCTGATGATTTCTGTAGGCGGCGGGGCGGGGGGAGGGTGTGTGCGCGGCGGGAGCCTTGTTGAGGGCTGCCTTAGCACAAGATGCACAATCAGACTGAGCTGGCAGCCTGTTTAATTTATTTGGTTCATGAGGAGAAATGGATTCCTGAGCATAGGGGAGGAGGGGGCGGCTGGGTTCCCTCCTGAGCGGGAATGCCCTATAACCCCCTTCCCCCCGTTATCTAGCTAAAGGTCACCGGGTCTGATTCCCAGCTACCCCCATCCCTGCCCATGGGAAGGGTTAAGGTGGCATTAAGCCCCCTTTCTGCTCCCTGTATTCTGAGCCTGGCCCCCTGAGTCAGTTAGAGCAGTCTCAGGGCTGCTCTAACACATGTTCTGCCCCCTGAGGGCCGTGGGGGGCAGAGAATAGCCACAGCGCAGTGTGCTCCAGCCACGCCCCCGATCCGCCCCCTGAGGGCCGTGGGGGGCAGAGAATAGCCACAGCGCAGGGTGCTCCAGCCATGCCCCCGATCTTCCCCCTTCTCTGGAGCCTGGCCCCTTATGCCAGCTTCACACTGGCTGGGGAAGCCTCTTGCATGGGGGGATTCTCAGTTCTTGCACACTTCACGTGCATGGGGCCATTTACAAATAACCCCCCCCCCCCACACACACACAGGTAGAAGTTGCACACGCATACAGCCGTACACGCTTGTGTGCATCCAGACACCCACGTACAGGCAGAGATCGGTTAAATGCCCATGCACAGCGTGTGTGCAGACACATACACACACAATTAGAAGGCAAAAACTAGGTGAACGATAAACCCAGAATAATACACACACCATGGCCCATTAAGAAGAAGGTTAATTCCTTTCTGGGAGGAAGGCATCTCAAAGAAGGGTTTTTTTTGCAAATACTGTATTTATGCTTACAAAAGCTGAAAGTGCTCATTAAACATATTTACACTCCAGAGTGAAATCCACAGGAGCCTTAATCTTCCGTAACTTTGATATTCCGGCTACTTTCATTAAGATGCCAAAAGAAGGACGAGGAGAAAGATCCTCAGTCAGTGTAAATAGACTTAGCTATGGCCCATTCACACCCGCTGGGGATCTGGCCGCATTGACTCCAATGGAGCGACGCCCATCGACACCCGCTGGGGATCTGGCCCCATTGACTCCAATGGAGCGACGCCCATCGACGCCCGCTGGGGATCTGGCCCCATTGCTTCTAGGAGCAGCGACTCTGTCATGATTTAAACACCCCCAGTGGTTCTGGCTGTGAAACTGACGTCCCTGCACAGAGGGTCTGACATGTGATGTAAGTACCTTTCAAATCCCCCAGGGGTTTATGTGGGGCTTACCTGGCTCTCAGGCCCCTGGCTACTGGGGTGTGGATTGCACCCCTATGTTCTCTCATAGGCGCCTCACTTGTGTAAAGTCTGGTGCTTAAGTGTTCCCTGGATCAGGGCCCTTTGCTGCTCCTCTGTGGGCTGCTTTGTAATTCCCTCCCTGGAAGACCCCACTCTGTTTTACTCTCTGTTTAATTGTGGCTTGAGATTTCACATCAGCAGAGGAGGCAGGGTCTGCGTTTGCGCAGGCCTACGTGTTTCGCTCTGTCTCACACCCGCACACGGAAAGACAAGACTGGAAAGACACCACGGCCCAACCGACGCGGCCAGCTCCACAGAACTCTGCAGGTAATATGGGAAAGAGGCGCGCAAAGATGCCTCCTCTGTGTTTTAAATCCAGGTTGCCAGCCAATCCATACCAGCTGGGGATCTGGCCCAGTGATTTACATGGGAGAAACCGAGGCCAGGCGCTGGCCCTGGGAGTTTCTCTGATGTACTCCATGAAACAGCTTGCTGTTGGAATGCAGCTCACGTGGGATTGGGGGATGACAGATCCTTTAAAATTAAACTTTCTCTTTGTCACTGCAAGATAAATGGTTTGAAGGTTTTCCCCAGTCAAGCCTGCCAGGGCTCCATCCTAAGGGATGGGATGGCTCAGTGCTGACTGCCGCATTTGAAACATGAAGTGACACATTCAGCGCAAAGGGCTCATTCAAAGGCCTCCCAGATGCCACTCACTCACGCACGCTACTCACCAACCCGGGGAATGGAGCAGGCAGAAATCCTTCCCTGGCATAGCCCTGGCCCTATCAAAGCGGGAAAGGGTTTGGCCACCCAGTTGTTGAGCAGGTGAGAAATTTTCCAGCTGAATGTTTGTTCTGTGTCAGTTCTTCAAAATCAAACCTTCCTGTGGGAATGTGTCAGTTGCAGTGAATTTTCATTTAGGAAATCGAAAGAAATCAAAAAGCATTTTCCAGAATGTCAAAACATTCCATTTGGACATTTTCAGCATACAATGCTTGGATTTCCCTCACGTGGGAACTGACTCTTCATTTCAAAACAGATTTTCTTTTAGAGTAGAACCCCCAATTCTCTGAGCACCGATCTTAGGAGCAACCGGTTTCAGAGATTCGGAGAACCCATTGTCATCATCCAATCTGTCCTCTGTATAACACGGGCCAGGGAACTGCCCCCGAATAATTCCCAGAGCCGATCTGTTAGCAAAACACCCTTGATTCAAAACAGCCTTGATTTAAAAATTGTCCATGATGGAGAAACCACCACGACCCTCAGTACATTGTTCCAGCTGTTAATTACCCTCACTGTGAAAAATGTAGGCCTCATTTCCAGTCTGAATTTGTCTAGTTTCAACTTCCAGCTACTCGTGTCAGACCCTTTCTCTACTAGACTGAAGGGCCCATTATTAAATATTTGTTCCCCTTGCAGGGGCTGATAGACTGGGATCAAGTGACCCCTTAACCTTCTCTTTAAGCAAAATAGACGGAGCTCCTTGAGTCTCTCGCTGTAAGGCAGGTTTTCTAACCCTTTGCTCTTTTTCTTGGCTCTTCTCTCAACTCCCCCCCCCCCCCCCGAATTTATCAACATCCTTCTCAAATGGTGGGCACCAGAACTGGACACAGGATCCCAGCACCAGGGCCAAACCCAGAGGGAAAACAACCTCTCTGTTGCTACTCGAGATTTCCCCATTTAAGCATCCCAGGATGGCATTTGCTCTTTTGGTCCCAGCATTGTAGGAACCATATTCCTGCTGTGGAATGTGACATCAGCCCTTCAGCCAATGTTCAAGCTGTCCTGGTTTGAAAAGAGGGAGGAATTGGGTGCCAGTTTTCTGAAAGAAGGAAAACTCCAGCTCGCTGGGTCCGCTTGTCACCATCTGTGATGCACTTCATCACAGAACGATTCACCAGTGAACATATGCTCTGTCCCTGCGGTCGCGCTGCCATGGTTCATCTTCTTAATGTTTCGATTTTGTGATCTCCTCGAGCCAGGCTTAGTTCATGAAATAGGCGTACGGCTGGATATTACAAATTAATCCAAATAAAAAGTTGAAATCCAAATGAAGGTTTCATGTGACCTGGAAAAATATATATTTTGAAAATTTTTACGGGAAATGTCAAACTTGTCCCCTGCACCGGCCGGAACGAATCCTCTGCCCTCCTAGGAACCCATAAATCTCCCCCCGATTGCTCCAGCCTCTCCAGAATGGGTGACTAAATTGGCAGGGTTTAGACCAGGCCGGCAGGCTGGCATTGCCCACGCTGGTGTCTTCCGCCATGACCAGGAACCTCCTTTGTATTGAGTGAAACCAGCGCCCGGCTGCCACCAGGCTGGCGAGATCCTGCACATAGCTGCCTTCGTCTGTATTCGTACCACCAGCGAGGGACTTTCCATTATCCCCCCTGCTTTATCCGAGATCAGTTGCCGTTGGCTGCGGAGCTGGGCTGGCAACAAGTTCCCTGGGCTAAGAGAATTGGGCGGGACATTCTGTGCCAGCTTCTTGCCATCACTTGCCTCCCGCTTCTCCCCGCGCAAGCCGGACTGAACCCCACTGGAGCCCGGTGGGTCCCGCGGACCTAACTGAGGGCACAGCCGGGCTGGCTGGCGTAGGAGGGCCCAGAGCTGCCAGAGGAAAAGGGCTAAAAATAAAAGCCTTGCTCGAGTGAGAGAGCCCTCTTCTCTCTCTCTCACACACACACACGTCCACTCCCCGGGGCACCTCACCTTCCTCCACCCCATGGCTCCCTGCCACAGCCGGCTTGTGTCCCAGGAGCGGAGAAGGGAGCTGACAACAGAGACAGCGGAGTGGGGTGGTTTCCTGCTGGATGAGCGGCCCGTGTGCTGGTTCTCAAGGGCAGAGCCAGAGAAAGGGGGTAGGGGGAGAGTTCTAGAGAGAGAGACACACACACACACAAAAATACAAAACCCCACTCCCCCAGGCTCATGCGCACAGTCACCTCCCTGTGCACACCCTAGCCCCCACCTGCACCCCTGCATGCACCCCCGCATGCGTGCACGGTCCATCTTCCCCCCCCCCCGTGCACCCCAGTGCCACAGGCTCCTGGGGGTTGCCCCAAACTAGAGTCTGAGGAAGCCTCCCGCGGACAGGAGCGGTCCCTGGGCCAGGCGCTGCTCCGGGGGCTCTCAGGGCAGGTATTTAAGCTTCCCGGGAGATGCCCCCCGCCCAGCGTCATTCAGGGGCCCGGGCTTTCCTGCCTGGCTTTGGGGATGTCACAGTCAGCCTTGGTCCCAGCCTTTGTTCCTACCCTGCTCTGGGCTCTTGTTTCTGGTGCCGGTTCCTGGCCCCGCTGCCACTGCTCCGACCACTATGCCCCGCTGCCTTTGCTCCAACTACCAGGCGAGTGGCTCAGACATGTGTGGGATGGACCAGGCAGCTCATCACCCCCCACCCCCAGCATGATGGAGACGTGGAGCTTTCCATGAGAGCAAGGCTGTTCCCAACTCATTCCCGCTCAGATTCTGTCTTTTGGGGACAATCTTCTTCCTCCCCTCCTGTCCCAAACTGCCGCGTGGCTGTTTAGCAGCTGCTGCTCCCCACCCCAGAAGTGGCTGCATCTTGCTGCTGGGTGAGGGATCCCTCTACAAGCAGCTGCCGCACTCCACCCCAGAGGTGGCTGCATTGTAGTGCTGGAATCCCTACATGAATATCCTGTAAGGGACATTTGGGCTCCTTTGGGTTAGAAGGTTCACCCAGGAGTCAGGACACCCGGGTCCCAGAGAGAATGTCAGCCCCATTCCATGGGCCCAGGGGAAAGGCAGTGGAGTGGGGGGAGGTGAGGGGGCTCCGGAGGAGGGGGGGGGGGGGCTCTCCCTAGCAAATCTGGGAGCCGTCAAATGAGGCAAACGATCAGCTGTTGTGGGGGGGGGGGTTGTGCTGCACACGCTTACACACAGACACGTGCACAGAGTCAAGGTCACCCAGGAACGTCACTCCCCTGCAGCTGGCATTACCCTGGCTGCTTGCCGCGCGGCGGCAGCTGCTGGTGAGGCCCTGAGGCCGCCAGATGACCTTGACGGGTGGGCTAGACCCGGTGGAGGAGACGCTGGCTCCCCCCCCCCCGGGGGCTGCCCCTGCGGGGCCGGGCTGAAGCTGGCAGGGGGAGCTAATGCGGGTGCTGACATGGGCGGGGCGGACAGAGGACACCGGTTCTCAGTCCAGACCCTTAACTGAGGCTTGATTTCTTCCCCCCTAGTTTCCATTCTGTGACCCCAAAACCCCCTTAAAGCCAGCGGTGGGGAGGCTTGGTGGCTAAGGAGCCAGATTAGAGGTCAGGACTCCTGAGTTCTGTGCCTGGCTCTGAGACTGACCGTCGGAGCACGGGCACATCCTGCCTCCGCTCTGTGCCTCAGTTTCCCCTCCTGCCCCTTGTTTGTCTTGAGTGTGAGCTTTCTGGGGCAGGGGCCATCTCTTACTCTGTGTCTGGGCAGCGCCCGGCACGACGGGGCCCCGATCTCGGTCGGGGTCTGGGCAGCGCCCGGCACGACGGGGCCCCGATCTCGGTCGGGGTCTGGGCAGCGCCCGGCACGACGGGGCCCTGATCTCGGTCGGGTCTGACACAACAGGGCTCTGATCTCCGTGGAGGCCTCTCCTGAGCTCCCTGTAAGACACATGCCAGTAGCTTTTGCTAGCGCAGCTCCTGGGCTGATTCACGCCGGTCGCGCCCCGCACAGCCCCGGCCCCGCGCCATGGGGGAAACAGGTCGTTCTGACTTTGACTCTGCCCTTTCCGTGGGTGCCTGGTTAGGGGCCGGACCCGCAGCCGGTGTCACTCGGCCTGGCTCTGTAGGAGTCTATGAGGTACCTGGGGATCTTTGTCCTTCCTGGGGCTGGAATCTCGCCAGCCCCCCAAGATAGCTGCAGGCCCCCTGTTGGGAAGCTAAGCCCAGGGGGCCCTTAGCCTAATAGCTGTGGGCACCCCAACAACTCCTGTCCCTGATCCAGGTGACTCTCACCCCTCTTGGCCATGTGAGTCACGGTTAACACCCGACCCGTGCTAGAAAGGGCAAGGAATCATCATCAGCCCTCGCTCGTGCCATAGAGCAGGTCGGTGGTGGTATCCCCATGTTACCAAATGGGGAAACCGAGGCAGAGACCTAGCTTGTTCAAGGCCACTGGGCAGGTCGGTGGCCGAGCCGGGTCTGCTGAGTCCAAAGTCCAGTGCTCTCCCAACTAGGCCACACACTCTAGTGTCAGTGTGTTTGTGTGTGTGTGTACGTGTGTGTGTACATATTTGGTAGTGTGGATATGTTGGTATGTTTTTAGGGTATTTATGTGTGTGAATGTGTGTGTGTGTGTTTGTGGGGGTGAATGCTAGTGTGTATTTTCACATTTGTGTTTGTGTGTGTGACTGTAAGCATGTGTACAGAGCTGTGTGTTTGTTAATCTGTATATGTCAATGTGTGAGTACTTGTTTGTGTGTGTGTGTGTAGCTACCGTGTCGCCTGACCAAGGTGTGCTGGGTTCACCGTTGCAGGCAGGACAGGGGGGATGCCGGCTGGCACCAGGAGTTGCGATGCAGAGTGTGTCTGTGTGCAGCGCCTGACTGTGGTGTGTGTGAAATCTCCGGGGAAGGCGCCATGTGCCCTGTGGTGGGGGGGAGGTAGAGTCTGTGTCCCGCTGAGCCGCCGGCATCGGCGCTTGGCTTGGCCCCGCCGCTAAGTGACTCACCTCGGCACATCTCACTCCTCCAGCCTGGCCTCCCCTCTCCTAGCTGACGCAGCTGCTGGTGCTGGCCCCGGGAATAGCCAGCGTCTGTGTGCCGCTGCCTCCTGCTGTAAGGGATTTGCAACCGTGCCTCTGTGTGTCCTAGCCCCTATAGCGCCACCAGTCGACGGGGATTCTCCGCCAGGTCAGAGGAGGTTGCAGGGCTGAGTTCTGCCCCCTGCTGCTGCCGTGGCATTCAGGGGGACTGCAGAGGCGACAGCCAGGGAAGTGCTGTGAGAGTCCAGAACAGATACAACCAAAGGGAGACGGGCTGGCCCCGGGACACGGGGTCTTTCCCCTCCAGGGGGCACCGGCTGTGAGCCAGACCCCATTCCCGGAACTGGTTCACTCAGATCTCGGCGGTTCTGTTGCTGGCTCTGGGCGGGGAGTGGGGTCTGGTGGTTAGAGCGGGAGGGCTGGGAGCCAGGACTCCTGGGTTCTATCCCTGGCTCTGGGAGGGCAGGGTGGTTTAATCTGAGCTTTGACCCCATCCTGCGTGCGAATTGCCCAGTGGAAACCCCCCCACCCCCACCCCCCAGCGCTAGAGGGGCTGGGGGGCTTGGCTCAGAGCTCCCAGACACGGAGAAATTAATTTCGCTGCAGAATCGGGGGTGGGGTAGGAATCTGCTGCAGTGAACAGGATCCAGGTGGCGGGGGCGGGGGCAGCTCGCTGCAGCTGGAAAGGAGGGGGGTTGGGGGTGTAAAATCTAGAAATAAATGGGGCTTGTCAGGAAAGCAAAGTATAAGGGGGGAAAGGACCTAGGGGCATTGGCAGAGCTGCAGGGAGAGCTGAGCGCTGGTTTAACGGGGGGGCTGTGGATTGAGAGTGAGGGGCTCCCCCCCGCCCCGAGCTGGACAAGCTGCCGCTCCCAGAGGCTGACGCGGGCCTCTCACACCCCGACCATCTGTGCTGTGTGCCCGGGGGGGGATGCCAGGCGCTCGTCACTTCGCAGGAGCGGGCGCGAGGCTGTCACGGAGCCCAGCGATCTGCTCCAGCCGGTGGCAGGGGCAGCCGGCGGTGGCAGGACCTGCCCAGCAGCTCCCGCTCGCCCAGTGGCTGGCACAGAGCGAGAACGGCCCCGTGGGTCCAGGCTGGCCCCGAGCGGTGCTCCCCACTCCCGACCCGCAGGCCCCGGGCTCCCAACAAACGCCGCTCCAACCGTGCTTCTCATTCCCGACCCACAGCCCCCCTGCTAGCCCAGCCCTGGGCTCCCCACCCACAGACAGGGTGCATTCAGCCCAGGCCCCATTGCCAACAGCGGGGCCGACTGTGGGTTGACACCGGGGAGCTGAGATCGCTGTGGGGCTGTTGGCTCTTTTCCATCAACCCAGCTCCCCGCCCCTCCACCCCAGGTGAGATGGAGGCTGAGGGGTACGTCCCAGAGGCCCCATCTCTGCCCCATGCCCCCCTCCCCGCCCCCCCGAGTGGAGCAGAGGACACCGTCGGGGCCGCGTGATGCATGCGAGGGCCTGTCAATCGCTCAGGGAGAAAGACGGGGAGCAGCCAGCTGGCTGGGAGGAAAATGAAAACACCAGCCTCCGTCTGAGCGGAGATGGGCTGTCAGCACCTGTCACCCAGCAAGACAGGGGAAGCCAGGGATCCTGGCGGGGGCGGGCGGGGAGCGCCAGGTGCAAGGCAGGGAAATGCTGCGCCAGGGTCTGGCAGGCAGCTGGGCCGATGCTCTTCACTCCCAACCCGCAAGGCCCCCGTGCTGTGCCAGCCCCGGGTGCCCCCCCCAATTTCCAGTGATGTGATTGTTCTCGCCGGGGAGCGGAGCTGCGAAGCTGGAGGGGGGGAGCCCTGGTTATCAGCAGCCGTCGCCCAGGCGGGGCGGGTGTGTGTGTGTGGGATCCTGGCAGAGGCAGGTTTGGGGGGGGTCACCATGGGAACGTGCGTGTCTGGCCTGGCTGCTCCCCTTGGTGTAGGTGCTGTGGGGGGGCGGGAGCGAGTGACGTCCCCTTGAATTGGGGCCAGGCTGAGTGGGGCCTGGCTGGGGCGGGGGTGCGTGTGTGCGGAAGTGGGTGTACATGCACGTGGAGGGGTTGTATGGGGGGCGGTTATAGGCCTTTGTGTGTGCACACGTGTGTGTGTGCATGCACATGTGTGATGGGGTGTGCAAACGGGGGTGTGTGTGTGCACACGTGTGATGGGGTGTGCGAATGGGGGTGTGCATGTGCACACGTGATGGGTGTGCGAACGGGGGTGTGTGTATGCACACGTGTGATGGGGTGTGCAAACGGGGGTGTGCGTGTGCACACGTGATGGGTGTGCGAACGGGGGTGTGTGTGTGCACACACATGTGATGGGGTGTGCATGTGGGTGTGTTATAGGCCTATGTATGTGCACATGCGCGTGTGCACACACGTGTGATGGGGGGTGCACACCTGCGCCTGTGATGGGCTGTTCACCCCACACTAGCCCAGACAGGGTCACCGTGGCTGAGAAGGGGCCAGTGACGGGAGATGGGGTTGACGGAGCCCAGCGGAGAAGGGGCAGGTGGGGGCTGGGATCAAGCCAGGAAGCTGGCAGCAGACAGGGGCTGCGGGGAGGGAGCCGGCGCCCACTCTCTAGATGTGGAGATGGAAGGAAGGAAACCCGGGGATGGGGGAAGATGAAACCCGCGGGATCCAGCCCCTGAGCTGAGGGTTTATCCAGTGGAGCGACACGGAGCTGGAAAAGGCCCAGGGCCACCACAGCAAGGTGGGACATTGCAGCCTGTAACTGCTGGTTAGAAGGTCCCTGGGGTGATACCCGGGGTAGCGGGTGGGCCTGGGCTTCCCCACCAGCCACTGGGGACGTGGCAGCGTCTGGGCAGAGGATGGGAAGCCTGCCTGGGACGGTTTTACAGAGAGACTTTGATCACCTGGCCAGAGGCCGAGCAGCGAAGGGAGCAACCGGGAAAGAGGCCGCAGGGCACCCGAGCACGTGTCGGACGGGGGCGTCGGGGCTGGAAGGAGCCAATCCCCACAGCAGCCAGGAGGGGGCGCCCCAGCGGCCCTGGGACATGCGTCTATAGGCGAGCGGGTGTGTGGATCTAACTTTGGGTGCGCGCACATTCATAGGCTCCTGAGCGTGCAGGGTGTGGATAGGCTTGTGGGCGCACACGTGTGTCTGTAGGCTCCTGGGTGTGCACGCACACACACGTGTGCGTGTCTATAAGCGTGTGCGTGTCTGTGTGAGCGCCGGCTGGAGGACAAGATTTCAAGCACTTGACAAAATCGAGACACTTTAAAAAAACGAGAGGGAGGAATAGCCGAGAGCCCAGCGGGGCTACCCCAGCTCTGGGAGGGGAGTGGGGTCTAGTGGTTAGAGCAGGGGGGCTGAGAGCCAGGACTCCTGGGTTCTAGCCCCAGCTCTGGGAGGGGAGTGGGGTCTAGTGGCAGGGGGTTGCCTTTGTGGGGGGTTGCCTTTACAGTAATACTCCCACAGCCAGCGGCTGGGCCTGGCACTTCTTAGGCTGGGGCACTTGGTCTGTCCTCTGCCATTTGGGGCTTTAACAGCCCTGCCCTGGAGTAGCTGCTAATTTCGGACCCTTTTTCTTCTTTTGGCCGTTAAGATTCGGGAGGCACCAAACCCACCGCCCATGTTTGGAAACAGGACCCCCACTCATTCCTCTCCAAATCCAATCCCTCCACGGGACTGTCTGTAGCCGGGTGCCCCTGCTCCAAACTCCAAACCCCAGCCGTACCTTGGCTCCCAGAGTATCCAGGAATAGTCTGCACTCCCCTTCTGCCTCCGAGCTGACTCCCATCACCCCTATTCCGCATCCTCAGCACTCACCTTCTTGTGCACCCTTGAAGCTTCTGTCTGTGACAGCCGTGGGGGTTGGAACGCCCAACCCTTCCCCTCTGCCCCCCACCGCACGCCGGTCACGGAGCTCTCTGCCCAGGCTTGCATTGCCCAGAAGTTGGGCTGGCCACGGTAGAAAGCTAATTGTCTGGAAACTGATACCCCACCGGTGACAAATCCCCCCACCTCCCCTGTGCCGTATGCCATCCAATCACCTGTCACTGCTGGGCCTATCGCAAGTATAACGAGGCAGATCTCATTAATATTACACACCGGAGCAGTGCCCGGTTAATTATGGAACACGGCTCCCAGAGAATCGGACATGCTCTTAATCGGCTGCCTTCCCAGCTACACCGCGCTGTAATTAAGGGCCCACTAATGAATTTTGGTAATTAAGCCAGCTATGCGAGGCACCGTTCAGAGGCGGGAGGGGCAGGGCAGGGGTGTTGCTGAGGAGAAGAGGGGCTCTTCGGGGCTGCAGAAAGGAAAGGGTCAAAGGAAAAAGTTTTCATGGAACCAGGGGGGCCGGGGCTGGTGTCAATGGGGCAAGATCCCCGGCTGGTGTCAACTGTCATTTGCTTCAGTGGTACTGTAGAGTTTCTTCCTCATATGCCCCTAGAGCTCGCATCCACTCAGCCTGCTGCCACCAGCCGCCTGCTCTAACCCCTAGACTCCACTCCCCTCCCCAACCCAACCCAGTGATAGAACCCAGGAGTCCTGACCCCCATCACCTCTGCTCTAACCCCTAGACTCCCCTCCCCAACCCAACCCAACCCAACCCAGGGATAGAACCCAGGAGTCCTGACTCCCTCCCCCTCTTCTAACCCAACCCAACCCCAAGACTCCCCTCCCCTCCCCAACCCAGGGATAGAACAGCTGGGAGGAAGGGGCTGAGCCCAGGGAACGAGGGGATACCTTCTCCATTGCCCTGGCAGGAAGAGCTGGGTCTGGGATTGTCTGGTGACTCCCCCTGAGCTGAGATCAAGGCCAAGCTGGGCCCTCACCAGTGAGTGCAGCCCCTGGCCCCCTTTCTTCTGCCCTCACATCCCTCACAAGATTTAACTCATTTTGTGCTTGGGCCTATCTGATTTGGTGCCCGGGGGCATGTGCCATCCTGCTGTTCCTGCCCCGCCTCAGCGGCTTGGCCCCGGGGCCACTTCTTGCAGGATTCCTCCTCACATGGACCCACACTGGCCCCTTCCCATCTTCCCTCCCCGTCCTCCAGAGACTTTTCAGCTGTGCCTTTAATATCCTCTCCTGCCGGCTCTCCTGAGCTCCCTCAGATCCGCTGGCCATGGGACCCGCCAGTTCTCGCTTGGCTGCTTTTTGCAGCCCCCCTCGCTTTGCTGCTGTCCGGAGTGCCGTGAAATCTGTCCCCTTGGGGGCACATTCACCCAGCCTGCCTGCTGCCCTCCTGTTCTGCCCGATTCCGCCCCGTCGGGCAGGATCACGTCTACAATCGCCGTCCCCCGGGTTGCTTCCAGCAGGCTCTGAGACAAAAAGCTGGCCAAGGTCCAGTTGTGGCGCAGGCATTGGGGGGGGGGCTGGATTTCGTGGATTTCCATTTTTGAATCATGCAATTTTCCCCTTTCCTGTTCCCTGACCCGCTGAGCCAACCCCCTCATGGGACCAGATCAGAACCGGCACCCCCTAGAGGGGAAAGGCCCCATGTCCCAATCTCCACCCCACTGAGCCAGCCAGTCAGTCCCCCGCCCTGGGGCCAGATCAGAGCTTGTGCCCCCTAGACGGGACAGGCCCCGTGTCCCCTTTCCCGCCCCCCTGAAGAAGCCAGTCCCCTGCCTTGGGGCTGGATGGGAGCTGGCGCCCCTTAGGGGTGAAAGGCCCAATCTCAAAGGGGGCCCTCCATGCACTACTGTAATCTCCCTAATAAAAGGACGGAGGAGCAGCCTCCCTTGAAGCCAGTAGCCCCCCGTCCCCTGCCCTCGGCTTGCGGAGCAGGAAGGCCAAGTTTTGTCAAAGTGGCACCCGGGCCTGGCACCACCGATGCTGCCGGATGGCTCCTCACCCCAGCTGCACAGAGCTCCCCTCCCAGACTTAATTAAGGGAAGCTAAATTAGGAGCATGAAGTGGCTGGCACGGAGGCAGGTGACGAGCCATCCAGGAAGCCTGCGGGGCAGCAGGACGAGGCGGACGCTGTGTTTAATACAAGCATGACTTTCTGCTTTAACAGACCAGGGGCGGGGGGGGGGGGGGGGGGAATGGGACATGGGTCTGTCCGCTCTAGGGGGCGCTGGCTCCAAATTGGCCCCATGGCAGGGAGTGACTGGCTCTGGGGGGTGGGGAATAGGATGACCAGACAGCACATGCGAAAAATCGGGGGGCGGGGGGGGTAATAGGAGCCTATATAAGAAAAAGACTCAAAAATTGGGACTGTCCCTATAAAATTGGGACATCTAGTCACCCTAGTGGGGAATGGCACATGGGTCTGTCCCCCTAGGGGGTGCTGGCTCCCATCCGGGCCCAGGGCAGGGACTGGCTGGCTCAGGGGGGCGGGGAATTGAACACAGAGCCTTTCCCCGTTAGGGGGCACCAGCTCTGATCTGGCCAGAAGGGGGTTGGAAAACAGGGACCCTCTCGGGTCAGACCCTCCAGGCGATCTTCTCCTTCTCCCGACTGGACGGGGATCAGATCCAAATCGAAGCGCTAACGACATCATTAATTAATGACTCCCCCTCTCCCGGGAGGAGGAGAAGCTGCTTGCGGAGGAAGTGGTTCATCCTTCCTTTTTTTTTTCTTTTTTAACTGATGAGACGTTGACAAGCCGGACTCGTGTTTGTATCAAACCGCGGCCGTCGATAGTGCCCCGCCGAGAGGGGGTCCCAGCGCTGAGCTGTTTCCTTCCTTCCCTCTGCCACTGGGCCCAGCCGCCCTCTTAGGCCCTGCTCGGAGCGACAGCCCCCAAGCCAGAGGTGGGGGGCTCTCACCTGGAAGGTCTAGTTGAAAAAAAAAAGGGGGGGAGAAGTGAGAAATTGGGGGGGTCTGGAGGTACTTTCCGTTGCTCGGGGTTTGAAATTGGCCCTGATTCTATCCCCAGCTCTGGGCAGGGAGTGGGGTCTAGTGGTTAGAGCAGGGGGCTGAGAGCCAGGACTCCTGGGTTCTATTCCCAGCTCTGGCAGGGAGTGGGGTCTAGTGTTTGGGGGGGGGGGGGAGTGACAGAAAGTCAGGACTCCTGAGTTCCAGCCCGCTGTGGCCCTGCCTCGGCCCCACGTAGCTCTTGCTGGCGGCTGGCTGTGTGGCTCTGCCCAGCTGGCCCATTGGGCACGCTCAGCAGGGAGCCTGCTCCCCAGAATTCTCCCCGTCTCCCCTGGATCACATGTCCCCCCTGCCCCCCTGCAGCCCCCCATCCCCTCCCCTCACTGCAGCCCAGCCGCCTCCCCTTGCTGCACCAGCCACGCCCAGATCTGCTGCTCAGCTCAGCTCTCTCCCCTGCCTGCAGCGCACTGAGCACCCCGGCCCCTCCCCGCACTGCCCTGCAACTCCCGGCCCCTCCTCGCACTGCCTGGCACCTCCTGGGCCCTCCCCTCGCTGCCCTGCACCTCCCGGCCCCCCCCACACTGCCCTGCACCTCCTGGGCACTCCCCTCACTGCCTGGCACCTCATAGACCCTCCCCTCACTGCACTGCACCTCCTGGCCCCTCCCCGCACTGACTGGCTCCTCGTGGGCCCTCCCCTCACTGCCCTGCGCCTCCCAGCTCCTCCCCACACTGCTCTGCATCTCCTGGGCCCTTCCCTCACTGCCCTGCCCTTCCCGGCCCCGCCCCACACTGCCCTGCACCTCCTGGGCCCTCCCCTCACTGCCCTGCCCTTCCCGGCCCCTCCCCACATTGCCCTGCACCTCCTGGGCCCTCCCCTCACTGCCCGGCTCTTCCCGGCCCCTCCCCACACTGTCCTGCTCCTCCTGGGCCCTCCCCTCACTGCCCTGCCCTTCCCGGCCCCTCCCCACACTGCTCGGCACCTCCTGGGCCCTCCCCGCACTGCCTGGCACCTCATAGGCCCTCCCCTCACTGCCCTGCACCTCCTGGGCCCTCCTCTCACTGCCTGGCACCTCATAGGCCCTCCCTTCACTGCCCTGCACCTCCTGGGCCCTCCTCTCACTGCCTGGCACCTCATAGAGCCTCCCCTCACTGCACTGCACCTCCTGGCCCCTCCCCGCACTGACTGGCTCCTCATGGGCCCTCCCCTCACTGCCCTGCGCCTCCCGGCTCCTCCCCACACTGCTCTGCATCTCCTGGGCCCTTCCCTCACTGCCCTGCCCTTCCCAGCCCCTCCCCACACTGCCCTGCACCTCATGGGCCCTCCCCTCACTGCCCTGCACCTCCCGGCCCCTCCCCGCACTGCCCTGCACCTCCTGGGCCCTCCCCTCACTGCCCTGCCCTTCCCGGCCCCTCCCCACATTGCCCTGCACCTCCTGGGCCCTCCCCTCACTGCCCTGCCCTTCCCGGCCCCTCCCCACACTGTCCTGCTCCTCCTGGGCCCTCCCCTCACTGCCCTGCACCTCCTGGGCTGTCCCCTCACTGCACTGCACCTCCTGGCCCCTCCCCGCACTGACTGGCTCCTCGTGGGCCCTCCCCTCACTGCCCTGCACCTCCCGGCTCCTCCCCACACTGCTCTGCACCTCCTGGGCCCTTCCCTCACTGCCCTGCCCTTCCCGGCCCCTCCCCACACTGCCCTGCACCTCATGGGCCCTCCCCTCACTGCCCTGCCCTTCCCAGCCCCTCCCCACACTGCCCTGCACCTCCTGGGCCCTCCCCGCACTGCCTGGCACCTCATAGGCCCTCCCCTCACTGCCCTGCACCTCCTGGGCCCTCCCCTCACTGCCTGGCACCTCATAGGCCCTCCCCTCACTGCCCTGCACCTCCTGGGCCCTCCCCACACTGCCCTGCACCTCATAGGCCCTCCCCTCACTGCCCTGCACCTCCTGGGACCTCCCCTCACTGCCCTGCACCTCCCAGCCCCTCCCCACACTGCCCTGCACCTCATGGGCCCTCCCCTCACTGCCCTGCCCTTCCCGGCCCCTCCCCACACTGCCCTGCACCTCCTGGGCCCTCCCCGCACTGCCTGGCACCTCATAGGCCCTCCCCTCACTGCCCTGCACCTCCTGGGCCCTCCCCTCACTGCCTGGC